CTTGGAGGATAATGCAAGGGTCTTTGCGTGGATTGAGCCATGATAGCCGGCCTGAAAAGATAAACAGGCCAAGGCAGAAACAGTTCAAGGGAACAAAAAAGCAAAAAGGAAGCTTCCCGGTACAGCCTGCAGGCTAGGGGAAGGAAAGAGAAGAAAACTCTTGATTCAAGGTAGCAAAAAACCCAATCCAACAAGAGGAACAAGGCAGCATCCCTGGAGCACACTGGAGAGAGAAACTGAACGGAGTGGTCCCAGGCTGCGAGCCCGCCCCGGCTCCCCTTAAAGATACCCCCAAAATTCTGGGCATAAAGCAGACGAGTACAGAAAATATCATCATAAAGCACCCTAAGAGAGTTCCCCTTTTTAATCTGAACCTATGAGACTCACATTCCCCGGCCCACGCCACCCGGAGAACACTGGAGAGAGAGACTGAATGAAGCGGGCCCAGGCTGCGAGCCCGCCCCGGCTTCTCTTGAAGATACCCCCAAAATTGTGGGCATAAAGCAGACGAGTGTGTTAAAAACGAGGCCAGACTCCCGGTACTAAAGTGATTTCATAATTTATTATAATAAAAGAAAGGCCTGAAGCAAGGGGGCCCGGGCTGGGCAGGAGCGATCCCGCCGAGGATGCTGCAGCGCCGGCGCTGGGGCTGCTTCAGCAGCGATGTCCCGATGGTGTCCCTGGTGGTGTCCCCAAGGTTCCAGGTGGAGTGGCACGGATTCACTGGGTCAGATGCCCCTTTTTATCCTCTTTTTTGTCCCTTTGGATTGGTTTCCTTTTGGATCCTTCACTTGCACGAAGGTTAAGGCGCTTGGTTGGCCATCACAGTTCTGTGCAGGCCGGCTCGTTTGGCTGGGGGTGCTGCACTTCACTGAGGTGTGATACCCTACAGGGAGTGCTGTATTTCTTATAACGACCCTTTTACCGTAACCAAACTAACAGGACATGCTTAACAATCTATCAGCTATTTTACAACAGTTTCTAACCTATTTCTAACAGAGTACATAAAGTATCATCATAAAGTCACCCCAAGACAGTTCCCCTTTCGGATCTGAGCCCGTGGGACTCTCATTCCCCGGAGTGCCACCCGGAGCACACTGGAGAGAGACTGAACGGAGCCATCCCAGGCTGCCACCCTGCCTGGCTCCTCCTGAAGACACCCCCGACATTCTGGGCATAAAGCAGACCAGTAAATAAAATATCATCATAAAATCACCCCAAGACAATTCCCCTTTCTGAATCTTGTCCCCTTTTCTGGTGGAAAGATGGAGAAGAGAATATTTTGGTCGTTTGAAGCAGGGTTTGGTGTTGTGCATTCCTGGGATGCTTTTCTTGGTTGTGGGAACAGACAGAATCATTCATCCTGGTATGGAAAGACTGCAGGAGGAATCTAGCAGAGATCTAGAAAATGCTTGTTGTCTGTCATATCTTGTAAAAGAAATAAAAACAAAATAAGCAGAGCTGGTGGCACTGGAGTACCCAGAGGAGTAGATGGGGTTTTCTTTACAGTGTACATCTGGAGAAAGTCATATTTCCATGAGGTTTTGCAGGAAGGTAAATGTACAGCTTGTGCAGGTAATATGGGGAGTAGGGATGATAAATAACACAGAGAATAGGAGCAGATGGGGTTTTCTTTACAGTGTACATCTGGAGAAAGTCATATTTCCATGAGGTTTTGCAGGAAGGCAAAGTGTGCAGCTTGTACAGGTAGTATGGGGTGGAATACAGGAATGATAAATCACACAGAGAATAGAAATTTTCTGTTCCCCTGAAGTTTCTGGATAGAGCTTAAGGACTATTGTGGCTGATTTCAGTACCAGGGAAGAGGAATGGCTCATGTGTTTCTTACACCACATGTCTGCCTGTGTTCATCCTCTGCTGCTGGAAGCAGACTTTTTGGAAGAGTTGGAAACAGGTTTTTCAGGAGGGCTCTGCTAATAGAGCCCGTTGGGAAGCTGAGGGTTCTGTATGGGAGCTCGGAGCATGTTGTTATCTCTAATGGAGCAGGGCAGTGCCCTGTGGAGATGCTGGCCTGTGTCCCAGGCCAGGGATATTTCTGCAGCATAAAAGCTGCATCACTTGGCCAGGAGCTAATGTGGGACTAGGATGGCTCAGGCAGCACTGCTCTGGGTGTGAGGATGACCTAATGGTCATTTGGAAGAGCTCAGTGTTCAGAGCTTCCTAAAAATCTGCTCATGTATGTTTGTGTTGAAGTGGGGGGAGAAACTGGTGGCAGAGAAGGAGTATCTGTCCCTAGCAGCACGCACAGACTTCTTTAAAAGCATCCAGACGTTTATTTTTATCTGTGCAGTACTGACAAACTGCAGTTGTAGTAAAATTTACTCCACTTCGTGCTTATTTCCCTGTGTGGTGGCGAACGTGCAGGGGTGTGCTGAGGAGCTGTCCCTGGCTGTGGCCAGCCTGCAGCTTGTGACAGTGACACCTCAGATGGAGCAGTCTGCCCATCAGAGCCTCCCCACAAGCTGGCATGCAGTGGGCACAGCGGGCAGGGCATCTGCTCTGACTCCAGTGGCATTTGAGAGGTTTTTGAGACTGTGACCCCAGTGAGTGTGGCCATGAACTGGCTGTATTTCAGGGTAAAAGCATCTGTCTGTTCCAAGGGGAGCATCATTAGCAGCCTGTGGAGTTCATTTGGTTTCAGCATCAGTGTGTTGAAAGCAAATGTGTTTGTGTAAAGATTCCTGGCAGAAATATTTTTGTGGTGGGAATACACTTCCTGTTGTTTCTGTCCCCAGTGTAAAAATATCCAGTTGTCCTGAGAAAAAGCAGAAAATCACAATATCCTGTGATGGGAGTGGACAGCTGATCTTTAGGGATAATGAGATGTGGAGAGAGGATGAACTGAAGTTCCTGTTTCCTCAAAGATGAGCAGCAAAATAGAGGAGCACACTAAATTCACTGTTCCCCAAAGTTTATATGGTTCTGGCTGCAAAGTTAAGGATCCAGAGAAGCTCTCTAGCAGAAGATTGAAAAACTCTAAAATCCTTTTATTTTTCTGGCACCTTTTCCTACTGAAATTCTTCTCTACTGCTGTTTTTTCCTTCCCTGTGTCTTTTTATTTTCTTATCCACATTCCTGGTTAATTCAGCCAGCTGTGTGGAAGCACCAGTAGCCCAGGTTGCTTAATCCTGAGTACACCATCCAACCTTGTAACCAAAGTGTAGGACCAAACAATGAGTAAATTCAGGAGTTGTGAAGAGGGCAAACTTTCAGGCTGGAGGTGATGGATGGAGATCTGCAGGTGGAGCACATCACCTGCCAGCAGAAGAGTTAGAAATCAGCTTTGGCCATAAAATCAAAGCCAGCCCTGGGCAAGATGTGTGCTGTGAGGTGGAGTGGGTGGGAGATGCCACATCTGATGGCCTGACAGAAAACAGGAGCCTGGCTGATCCATGTTTCTCACCTCCACATTCAGTTCCTTGTCTCCCTGTTTTATGCTGAGCAGAGCTGGAAGCTGCAGCCTCCTGTCCAGCTCTGACAGCTGCTCCTCCCAGCTCTGCTGCAGAAAGGCTGGTTTTTTTCTCTTCCCAAGAAGAGTTTCTTGCTCTTGTCTGTTATTCCTGCTGTGGGTGATGTGATTGGAGCATCCAGTGCTGAGCATCTGCAGGTGTGTGAGTCCAGCCCAGGTACTGAGCACCTTTCTGGACACATGGGGAAAAGGCCTTGATCCCTCAGGTTCTTGCTCAGGCTCCCTCCCCAGGATGTCCCTGCTGATCCCTCCTTTCTCTGGCTCTTTAAGCTGATGTAGGATGACTGACTCTTACTGCACGTGGGTGTTTCAGATATTTGTGAGCCCTCAGGAACACGGCTTTGGAATTCTCCTTGTGGTTTTCCCTCCTCTGTGTCTGCCTGCAGCTTTTCCTGGAGCCCTGCCAGCCCTCTGCTCACTCTGACCCAGCCTCTGTTCAAGTCCTTACTCATGCCTTAATCATTTCCCATCCCATTATTGCAATTCCTCCTTGCAGCATCTGTAAATCTTTGATTCTCAGGGGTGCTGCCTCTTTCCTTTGCCCAGGAAGCAGTGTCCCCAGTTTCTGGCTGCTCCTTGGATTGCTCTCCTTGCTGTCAGGTTGGCATTGGCCCTGGTTTACTCTGCTGCCACCTTTTTTCCTCCACATCCTAGCCTGCTAACTCCCAGCCTCAAGATTCCTTTTGGCTGATAGGCTCAATTTTTAAATGATTTTTCTTTATCCATTAGGAATGTTACTGCTTTTTTTCTTTTTAAACTTAGTAATTTCCTTTATTTTTCTTTTCTTGTCATAAAATGTGCTTGTTGATGCAACATCCTTGCAAGGAATTTGGAGGTTTTATTCCATTTGCCTGCTGGGAAGGGAATGACATAAGGAAGGGTTGTGACTTCACTAATGAATAGTTGGTAGAGTTATGCTTAAGTGTCAGGAAATTTGGGAGTTTATTTCAAATTTTCTTGTAAATCCATTTGACCACAGGGTCAAATGCCCTTTTTACTGTGATAGGATTTTGGATTTGTCTTTAAGGAAAGGAGCTGAAAACCCCATCTCAGACACTGGCTTCATCCTTCCTTCCCCTGCCAGTCTGGAGAGGCTGCCCTGCAGGCTGGTGGGGCTGTGCAAGAAGGGTGGTGCCTTTTGTCAGGGCTCTGACAGCACAGCTGAGGCTTGGCAGGTGCTGAGCTGAGGCTTTAGGATTTCAAACCAGTCAAAACCATTTAAGTTACTCAGATCCCAAACTGTATTTAAATTCTTGTTCTGTATTTAAATTCCTGTTGAATGGCTCCGGGAGGTTTCAGCTTTGGCCCAGGACTTTGAGATTGACAAAAAAAAATGTAACATGAAGATGGGAGATGAGGGAAATGACCACCCTGGTTTTATAGGAGAAGAAATGAAAGGTTCTGACTCCTGTAGGGCTGTGGGGGCAGAGCTGGGCGCTGCTTTTTGGGAGCCTGGTCCACGCTCTCCTGCTCATTCTCGATCTGATTCCTTTGTGCTCTTCTCCCCCAGGTGTGTGACCATGGAAGAAGAGATGCACCATCAAGAAGCCTGAGCAGTGACACTGGGACAGCTCTGCAGACACTGGCAGCAGCAGCCTGAGATACAGGAGAGCAATCATGCTGAAACCAAGTGGACTTAAAATCCCAGGCAGGGCTGGGAAGCACTCCAGCCCCGTGGGACGGGCAGCAGGGACCAGCACAGCTGCTGCCACCACGGGCTCCAAAGAAGGTGAGGGCTCCATGCAGGGCCACCAGCTGCCCCAGGGCACTGCCTGGCCTGGGGGCCGTGGGCTAGGGCAGCCAGTGTGCTGTGGGATGTGAAATTCCCCATCTCTGTGTGGGCTGAGGGATCAAAGCAAGCGTAGCAGGTGGATAAATGGGCTCCCTCTCCCAGGTAATGCACAGAACTGGCAAGTTGTGCAGTGGCTGGGAGGCAGATGGCTCCCCTGATGTTCAGGGCTGACAGGGGTGCCTGTACAGACACTGGCATGGGAAGGGCTGGTAGTGGGGCACATGGGAACCTCCCCAGGACCTTAAACACTGCCTGCAGCCACTGCTATTGGCCTTGAGGGTGTAGGAGTAATAACTGAGCACTTCAGGTGATTTCATGTCAAATGTGCTGTTGATGTCAAATTAGTGCCTTTGTTTAAACAGAAACACTTGAAGCCCTTGGATTTGAATAATGACTTACCTTCACATACCTACACATCTTGCTGATCTATATCCAGTGTATACATAAGCTGTGCAGACTGCCATTGTCAGCATAATTAACACTTCAAAAGCAGTTGAGGGTGTGTTTTGCTTAGGATTCATTTTTCTGGCTTATTGGCTGGTGGGTTTTTAAAAGGCATCTCAGCAGGCACAGTTGGTGTGTGTCTTGTGCTATGAAAGGGTCAGGCAGTGGCAGGGTCAAGGCAACCTCTGGCTGAATGCAGCTCCTGTTTGCTGGAGTTCTTTGTGCCTTGTTCAGCTCCAGCCATCTGTCACCAAGGGATGCGCAGCCAAGTACCCTGTGTGGCTCCAAATGGAGTCTGACCTTTGTTTCAGGAGTTCTGAGGTTCATTCCTGGAAAAAAGTGGGCATGGAGAAGGGGAGAAGTCTTGTGATGGTGGGTTGGTGCTGTGTGACAGATTACTGCTGCTCCTCTGCCTGTCAGGATAGTGCAGGAGGCTTTTGGAAATTGTGGAGCCACTCCTGAGCCACTCCTGAGCCACTCCTGAGCTAGTCCTGAGCCACTCCTGAGCCACTCCTGAGCCACTCCTGAGCCACTCCTGAGCCATTCCTGAGCCACTCCTGAGCCACTCCTGAGCCATTCCCACCTGGAAGGTGAGAACAGAGCACAGTGGGGTTGGTTGAACAGCGTGGGCTGGGTGTGTAGCAGTGGTTGGGCTGTAGTGCTTTCTCTGTAGTGGCCCCTTCTCACTCAGTGTGTGCTCAGGAGCTCTGTCCCTGCATGGCTGCACTGCTCTTCCTCCTGCAGATCTCCCCAGAAGTCTGGCCAGCTGCCTCTTGCTGCTCTCCTTTCCAAAGGTAACCTGTGAGCAAAGTGTGCCTCCCCAAATCCTGTCTGCCCTTCTCTGAGAGCAGCAGCATCTCTGCTGGCTGTGGGGCCCAGCCACAGCACAGTCAGGGATTCAGCCTTTGGTAGGGGAAACTACAAGAGAAAATACTCTTTTTTATGCTAAAGTGGTTAAAATCTATTCCAGAGCCAAGTGTCCACATCACTGAAACCTTAACCATAGCAGGCAGTGATGTAATTTTGGGGATGCCTGCAGCCAAAGAATCTGGTGGTAGATGGCTGTGGAAGCTGGATTTCATTACATTTCCTGGGATTGGTCAGATCTGGGCCATGAGGCTTTACATGAAGTCTTGAAGTTGTAAGAAGGAGTCTCTGTGTGAGGTGTTTGGGAAGCCCTGCAGAAGCCATGAGCTCCATGAGCTGTGTCTGTCACTGAAAGTGCTTCCTGGGAGGCTGTCAAGGTTTTCCTGACTCCACAAAAATTCATTACATGCCCCTGAACTGCTGCCTTACTCCTTGCCTCTGCACTTACCCTCCTCTTGCCAGAAAAGCCAAGGAGATGTCTGCATTTTCTGGAGCTTGATGGAAGAAAACCAGAGTGAATTGGGTTACAAAATACAGAGATGCAGCACTCATCTATATGAATTTGCTACCTTGGTGGAGGATAGAAACCTCAAAATCCTGAAATGTAGTTGCAGAAGAGAGCCATAAATCTAGCACAGCCCAGAATTAACCTGCAGCAGTGCCCAGTCTGTTGCCTCTGAGAAGTTCCTTGGCTCTGGGAGCTGGGGGCTGGCTCAGAAAGACCCCAGAAAGGAATATCTCGTTCAGATTGCCTGTTAAGAGAAGATGCCTGTTCTCCAGTTGTACCTAAGATATGTCAGAGCTGCAAATGAATTTTTAAAAGCTTACACTTTGATCCTCTTCCCCTCCCATAAGTTTATCCAGCTTGTCTGCACAAGTGGAGGTACTTCCCTTTATTCTTACTCTGGAATACACAAAGTTGCTTTGATTTCTCCTTTCTCTTTTCCCCAGTGTCCTGTTCATATTCTTTTGTAGAAACTCAAGTGTCTCTTATCTGTCTCTCATTTCTCTCTTCCTTTCCCAGGCGTGGAGATTCCTCTTCCACATTTCCATGTACTCCTGGCAGCTCACATTTTATGTGCCAGGAAGAGGGTCAGTGCAGGTGGGAGCTGCTGTGAGTGCATGTCTGTGGAATTCACAGTTCATGGCTGGAGGTTTCTGCAGAGACCAGACAGTGAGCCAGCCTGTCACACATGCTGGATCAGAGTTATTTCTCCTGAAAACGTTCAGAGTCAGCTCTGCTCATGGGATGTGCTGTGTCCTCCCTGAACTTTCCTTGAGTGGAGAGCTGTGTCTCCTTAGCTGAGCTGGTGCTTTCACAGAGCCATTAGGAATAAGAGCTTTTGTGGGGGTGCTCTGGCTTAGGTACATTGCCTTGCTGTGGCTGTGGGCTTTTTTAAAAAAATAACAGAAATTGCCATTTCCTCTGAAAGTCAGTGGGGAACTGGCAGCTGACATGGACTCCTGGAAGAAATTAGCCTTGAGTAATGTCCATGCTGGCTATCCCCCTCCCTTCTCTCCTGTAAAACTGGAACAATGGAAAAAATAAGTTCTGCTGCTTTGCAGTAACTATTTTCCTTAACCAGACTGAAAATTCATCTCTAGCTGCCTTAGGAGAGCATTTTCCACAAATGTGTTGGCTTATTTCCCATGTTTCAAGTGCAGAAAGTCACTGCTCTTGACCCCACATTGAGGAGAGCTTTCTGTGCTGAAGGTGTGGGTCATGGGTAAAGGACTCAATATAATATTTAGATTTCTTGTTACAAAGCTCACATGTCTCAGTTCCTTTCCCACTCTCCTCCTGGAAAAGCCTGCTTTTGCAAGATGGGAAGAGAATGGAAGCTGTGATGAATGGGCCCACAGAGCCCTCCCAGCTGGTGGGACAGGTGAAAGCTGCTGGGAGGAGAAGCATTCACATTTCAGAGTGGGTTTTGTCTGCTCAGAGCAGTGTTGGAGTGATGTGGTTGGGGGAGAAATTTTCCTTTCATACTTCATTTGGCTGTCAGCTGGCTGTAGTGTTTGTTTATGGTTCTTAAATCTCTTGTTCAATTTAAAAAAATCTAGCAAAAGACAGAGGACAAAAGAAATACTTGTATTTGCAGATGGGGCTGGGCAACACTGAGACTTCAGTGCTGGAGGCAAAAAAAGCCCAAACTTATTAAGTTTTCTGTGAGACTTATGTGCATCCAGTCAGAATCTAGAGTAGACCTTGGGTTTTACAGATGGATCCTGTCTTTCTGAATGGGCAAGTGCAAGTATCTGTCACATTAATTTCATATTTAGGCATGCTAACAATATCAAAACTGTTTTTCAGCAGTTACCTAGTTTTATTGCCAAAAACTATGCTTTGAGAGCTAAACTATACAGCATATTGCTGGGAGCCTGGCAATGCCTTCTTGCTTTCATGTAAGTGTACATGCATTATTTTTCATGAAGAATAAATGCACAAGGCTAATAATGCTGGCATAGTGTCTGCTTCTGCAAACACTGTGTGTTGCTTTTGTTCACTAAAAATAAGAGTGAAGCAGACTGGAACGTTCCCAGGGCCGTTAAAGAGAATGGGATGACTGGCTCCTTAGGGTAATTAAACTAAAATATGCTGTAATGAGGGTTTGATAAGCCTGAGCTGGGTGTTGGGTCCTGGTTAGTTGCATTTGGGGTTTGGGTACTGATGGGCTGAGGCTGGTCCCTCCTGGTCACTGCTGTGCCCAGGGCTGAGTTTGCATGATGGGGTTAACTTTTCTTTTGAAATTTCCTTTTCTAGAAATGTGATTATGTTCTGAGGGCTGCTTCTAGTGTGGCACTCAGCAATTCTGTGGCCAAGTCTCTTTTGATCTGTACCTGCCTCAATTCTGCTGGAGGATCCTCGATCTCAACACCACCTTAGCTCTGCTGAGCATCTACTGCCTTGCTCTTGCCTTTCCCAGTGGAAAATCTTCATTCCTTTTTATTTATCTGCCAGTGTTAACAGCAACATCTTGGTAAATTAGCCTGGAAATCAGTTGTTCGCCCCTCGAGTTTCTCAGGATGTTTTTTAGGTTAAATTGGCTGGATGCATAGCAGTAAGAAGCAATTTCTGTGGCTTCTAGAATTTTCTGTGGTAAAAAACAGAGGGAGGGATGTTGTCCTTCATGGGGAATTTATGCCTCCGTATCAAGAGAGAACTTGGGGCGGTTGTTCTCAGGTAATTACTGATGGTTTGGTGGCATCTTAGCACAGGCTTTTTTTATAAAGCTGCAAGAAACTGCTGAGGCTCTCTGATTTTGTATCAGTCTATTAATTCTAATTCCAAAATAAATATTAAAGACACTAAACCACTGTTTTGCCTGCAACAAAAGAAATAGGATTGTAATGTCCAGAGCAGCTGATTGACTGGCACAGCCATAGGGACCTAATTCTTGTCTGTTCAAAGGCTTTGTGCCTCTTGATTAATATTAACTTGGGCTGTTGTGTGCTGGTGAATTGAGAGAGAAGACCCCACATCACAGGGCCAGAGGCTGCTATTATTTCCAGCAAACATTTTGTTTTGCTGTTTTGCATCAGGCCTCGTGGAGTGATTGGTGTTGTCAGCTCCCAGCTGAGTGCTGTCCTCAATTAAATCCACGCTGCAAGCCTGGGGTGGGATT